AGATACACAACGAATGAGAATATTTAGAGTTTGCTCGAATGGGTCCTGTGTGGATTTCACAATATACTTCGCCTTAAGTTTACTAACTTTTAGCTTAGTACTCAATTAAATTGGAGGATTTTTTCTTCTTTTCTCATCCAAAGCCATATTTAAATAACCATTTGCAATCACAATACTTTACCGAACTAGAAAATGGCGTCGCTTCCTACACTTTAGGAAAATGTGTCTCAAGATTCTTTTGTCTTTATAACGTTTGCTCACCTTCCCTTCTCCCTGCATCCCACATTAAGATTTAATTCTTAAATAACTCTGAATTTTGGAGAAATGTCCAGATTTTTTTTTTTTTTTACCACATGTTGTGTTTTTCTGAATATTTGCACACTAATGAAAATCTTTGTGCCTCTGTAGTAAATAAACCTTTGAATTGCTAATTGTTTCAGATTACCCCCATAGAGCTTCAGCAGCTGTCTTAATGGCATTTTCAGTCTCTGTTTTCCTGGGACTTTAATCATAAACCATACACACGAGCATAAAGGTGGGATTGCCTCGTGGACAGAGTGTTGGCAGCATCTGTGTATTCTATAGCCACTGTGGGAGCGGGTCATCCTTGATCGCCCCCTCTCACCTCGTATCAGCTCGGGCTGCCATCACAGAATACCACAGATGTGGGTGGCCTAAACTACTCAAGTGTCTCTTCTCACAGTCTGGAGGCTAGAAGTCTGGAAGTCCACGATCCAGGTGCCTGCAGAGTCGGGTTCCGGTGAGGCCTCTCTCCCCAGGTTGCACACAGCAGCCTTCTCGTGTTTTCACATGGCCTTTCCTTTGTGCACACACTCCTAGTGTCTCTTCCTCTTCTTATAAAGGCACCAGTGCTCTCAGATTAGGGCCCCACCCACACTTATAACCTCATTTAACCTTAATTATCTCCTCAAAGGCCCTACCTTCAAATACAGTCACATTGGATGTTACAGCATCAACATCTGAATTTGGGTTCATATCAACATCTGAATTCAGTCCATAACACACCTTAAGGGAGATGCCAGTGTCTCCCATTCAACCCTCCAGATCCCCTCTCCCCTTCTCTCCACAAGCTTGGTGCTCAGGGATACTGATCTCTATGGGCTCCCAGGTCCTCTGGCTCCTGGCAGAGTTCAGCCAGTGGGATACACTGGCAAGAAAGGGAAGACAGGGAGGAGGAGACTGGGGTCTCACTCAGTACGTATTCCCCTACCCCCGTCCCTGCAGGGCCAGCATGGGTTGGTGTGTCCCCTGACCAATTCTCAACTCCTTTTAGCCCTTGTGTCTTCAGTTCCAGTGATTCTCCTCTCCTCAGCTCCCTTCAGGCCTGGGGGGATGAGAGTGGTTATTGACCCCATACTGTCCTTTGGAGTTTCCCTTCACCATGCCCGGTTATAAAACAATTCCCTCAAATTATCTATTTGATAGACGATGTCATCTCTATCTAGAAGGGAGATTTTCAGGGCAGCGGCAACCCACTGTCCTGTCAACCGACCATTCTTTCAACCCAGTGAATCTCCAAAGGACCTCCTAGCAATGTCATCATTCCTCTGCAGTGGTGTCATCTGTGGATGCTGCCAGAATAGACAGATTTGTAGTCCTACTTCTGAGGCAGCCCTTGTCAGGTTGGGATTTCCAAGAGGAATTTTGCATCAGAACCTATGTCCTTCCCCATGAGGATGCTCAAGACCATGCATGCATCCTTTCTTTATCGTTCTAATCTTGCCACCGACTCTGGGGAGAACTTGGAGGCTGGTCTGCTCTTAGATCCTAATGCCAAGCTTCAATGCAGACTCTAGAGATTTGGCTAAAATAGCACAACAACCTCTAGCCCTCTTTTTGCCCAAAAGAAGACTTTCAAGGAAGGGTTAACGGCTCAGGCTTCAGCTCCTTTTGGATTTCTAGTTCTGGCTCTGGCATTAGTGCGCATTTCTGAGCCCTAGTTTGCTCTTCCGTAAAATGATGATAATAGACTGGAATTGTGTAGAATAATGTTTGGACAGTGTGTAGGAACTTTCTATAAATGTTAGCCTCTGTTGTTTTTAGTGCACAATGGACCTTATCTGGGTAAAACTCCTCTTGATCATAAAGTAAAAGCTCTTTCTTAGGAATTGGCTTTGTGTTTTCCCTCTTAATAGAGGAATAAATGTGTTTGTTTCTGTTTATAAAAATCATACATGGTGAAGAAGGATGGTATGAAAAAGAAAATAAAAGTCTTTCCAAGTCTTACCAAAGAGGATAAGTTCTGTTACATTGTCACTTTATGGTAGCTCCATGCGTATAACTTTACGCACATTAGTTTCTTCACACGCACACAATTACGTTTTTTTCTAGACTGAGACCACGCTGTGTCATTTTGTGTCCTATATTAATAACTACATCATGAACATAAAAGTACCTTCTGAATATTTTCTTATTACATATTCTTTAGGGGCCGGCCCCGTGGCCTAGTGGTTAAGTTTGCGCGCTCCGCTGCGGCAGCCCAGGGTTTCGCCAGTTCGGATCCTGGGCGCAGACATGGCACAGCTCGTCAAGCCATGCTGAGGTGGCATCCCACATACCACAACTAGAAGGACCTGCAGCTAAGATATACAACTATGTACCTGGGGGATTTTGGGAGATAAATCAGAAAAAAAAAAATTCTTTAAAAACTGAATTCATTTTTAAAGATCTTTTCATTGAATTTTATACATAGCCAAAAAGTCATAATTTTACATAGATACGCAAATATAATTGTGCCATATGTGCTTTTTCATTGTTTTGTGGTTCTTAATCTACTGTCTGTTACACTGCTGTTTAAACAAGGTGGGTTTTTGCATTGTCTCATTTGTTCTGTTCACCTGTTAGGTAAGGCTCTGATGTGACCAGGCTTTTTGCCCATAATACAGCCCCTCAGTGTGTAATAGAGAGGGCATATATTGATGGTGAATTAGAACCTTCTTCCTTCTTCTCTGGCTATGATGTACTGTTTCTGAGGTCTAGATATGAGTCAGTCACTAGAGTTTTTCAATCTGGCCATCCATACCATAGTGAGGAGTAACTCCTTCCAGACATTGACAGAGTATTGGACAAAATCTCTAGTTTATAATGGCTTGGTGATTTTTGCATCCTTCTCTATGTTTCATGAATATTTTGATGGGAAACTGAGGGATGATAAACCAGGTCCAGCTTGTCTAATGGCAGTAGCTTCCATAAGTTTCTCCCTCTCTCTCTTCATGAGTTTTTCCCATTCCTGTGTGATTATATTTCATTTTTCCACATTGAAGGAAAAAAGGAAATCCATGCTCAGGTCAGTCAAATCATGTCATAAATATTCTGTTCCTTGAGGATTCGGGGTCAGGGAGAGTTTATCACGGATACTCCAGATTATTTGTTGTCTCTCTTTCCTAGGCTCTTTTTCCAGAAATTCCAAGACAACATTTCAAATACTTTTCCCTCCACCTGAGACCAGAAAGTTAGGCCATGAAAGGGAGGAAGAGGTTCAGCCACCACCAGCCTTGTGACTTTGGTACTTACTTCCTAATTATAAAATGATAGATTTGGCCTAAGTGTCCTCCAGTGTGCCTTCTAGTTTTAAAATGGTAAAATCTCAGGGACTCAGCTATAACTATTCCCAGAAATACTCTTCGCTTTGGCTTATTTCTCTAGTTTTCTCCCAAAGACCTCATCTTTAGAACCAAATAGTCACTATACTTCAATATAGCTATGTTCTGCTTAGCTGCTGCTTGATTATTTTGTGACCTTAGGAAAATCTTTTAGGTTATGCCAAGTTTTGGCACAAAGAATGTGCCTCCATCTCCTAGCCGTATAAGGAAAACTTTATAGACCTGGCTGAAAAAGGTATCCATAGTCAAATATGTTTGGAAATTACTTCAGATTGTGCCCCCTCTTAGAGTTTTGCAATGAGCAGCCACTTATTAAAGACTCTTAGAAGTTCTGCAATAAGCAAACCTGTTTAATTTTAACTTAGAGTTTCCCAAACATATTTGATCTTGAAATCTTTTTATTTCTGGTAGCCCCCATTCACATCCCTCAGTGATAAGTGTCCACCCCATGCTTAGGGGAGGCACAGCTCTAAAAGGAAGGGTATGGTACCTGATTCTGCCCCCCGCTGATGATGTGATCTCAGGATGAATACTAACCTCTCTACACCTCGTGTTCCTCATCTGTCAGATGCAGGAGCCCAATAGCTCCCACTTCATGGGGATGTAAAGATTTAAAGCAGTATTTTGACTACAGTGATTACAACTAACAATGTTACAGCTCTCGGGTCTGTCTGGGTTCAGACTTTGTTCTTCCACTGACTACGCTTACTAGCTGTATGACCTTAGGAACGTTACTTAACTTCTGTGCCTCAATTCTTCATCTGTACGATGGGGACAAGACAGTGTATGATTCTCACAGTATTGTTGGAAGAATTCAGTCCAATTCCTATAACACATTTAGAATTGTGCTTGGTCCATGGTAGGTACCTAATAAATGCAGCCCTTATTATCGTCATCATTGGTGCTCTTGTTACTTCTATGACTACATCGCGTGAAGGGAGTTATTTTAGTTTCTTTTTTTAATTAGGATATAATTGACATATAACATTATATTTCAAGTGTACAACTTTAATGATCGGATATTTGTATATGTTGTGAAATGATCACCACAGTGAGTCTGCTTAACAGCCATCACCCCACATAGTTACAAATTTTTTTTTCTTGTGATGAGAACTTTTAAGACCTACTTTCTTAGCACCTTTCAAATATACAATACAGTATTATTAACGATAGTCGGTGTGGTGTACATCGCATCGGATTATTTCAGTTTCTAAAAGTAACTCCTTTTACCTCAAAAATCAGCTTAAACCCAGCATGTTAGTAAAATAGCCTCACACTCCTCCTGCAAATATTGGGTTCTGCCCTGTTGATTTTGATCTTCACCTAGAGTCCGTGATGCTTGTCTTCCCTCATTTAACTTCTTCTGTTTGTGAACAGGGGCGGAGAGGCCTCGGCTCTGTTTTCGTCTGGGCGTCAGGAAATGGAGGAAGGAGCAAGGACCACTGCTCCTGTGACGGCTACACCAACAGCATCTACACCATCTCCATCAGCAGCACAGCCGAAAGCGGAAAGAAGCCTTGGTACCTGGAAGAGTGTTCGTCCACACTGGCTACAACCTACAGCAGTGGAGAGTCCTACGACAAGAAAATAGTACGTGACATTTGCATGTCTGTCATGGTTTCTTTATCTTTTACTTTGAAATACAAAGGGAGAACCACAAATTTACGTGCACAAGTAATATATGGAAACAGAAAGATTAGCTGATTACTCAACACAAGTGTTTGTAAATGTTACCATTCTGTTACCAATTCATTGGAAAAGCCTGTCTGGGTCATTGCATTCTAGCATCTAATGTGGTCTTAGACATGATTAAGCTTCAGTTTTGTCGAGGACAAATGAATGGTCCACGTTCACCTGGTGAGTTAGTGGCAGAGAAGAGACTAGAATCTGGGTCCAACTCTCAGTCCAGTTCTCTTGTCACTCTGTCCCCATCTGCCTTTGAACCTTAGCTTTAATACTTTGGTCTCGAAGTTGCTCTGACTAGTGCAGTGTGAGCTGACCCTGTACAGAAGGTGCTCCTCTAATCCTGCAGAACAGAGTTTGCCTGAACGAGGAGCAGAGTCCTCCGTGGTCTCCTGCTCAGCAGCACGCCCTGCTGTCCATGCAGACGTCGCAATGGTCAAGAGTTCGTGCTGCAGGACCAGCCTGCGTGGGTTCATTTGCTGTTGACTGTTTACTAGCTGTGTAACTTTGGACACGTTACTGAATTTCTCTGTCTCAACATCCTTACCTATAAAATGGGGACATTCAATATTACGTAGCTCGTGGGGTTATTACAGAGGTTACGAGGAAGTAAACAAAAAGTGCCCTGTGCACTGCCTGACCCCCTGGTGCTCGGGAGAGTCTGCCTTTGGGCTGCCCGGCCCTGGGCTGCTCATCCCACACTTCACTTACCTTTGCATCTTCCTCTTTTCCTGATCATGGTTTTGTCAACTGTCTCGGGATTTGTCTTTCTGCGGGGGAGCTAAGCTGCTGTGCCTGACACTTTTTAACATTTAGCCAAGAGCCTGCTTTCAGACTTGTAGATTCATGCAGGTTTGTGTCACTGCTGATGCTCAGCTGACTTCTCCACAGCAGTGGAAACACAGGCGAAAGGACACTACCACCTTTGCGTAGTTCTTTATCCACATCTGTTTGATTCCTGATTATTATATGATTTTAATGTTTGATTTCTCAGCTATTTTTACTACCTTCTTTTAATTACATTCTGCAGATTGATTCAAATAAAAACTGCCTCCCATATGCATATCCCATCCGCCCCCATCTTTCCCTAATTCCTCCACAATAACTGGGTTAAAGAACATGCACATGAGTCTGCCTTTAAGTACCTCCATCATCCATCAGTAAACCTAACTCCACCGCAGGAAGTGAAGTGGAAAAGGAGAAAATGCGGAGACGACAAGTTTTGAAGTTTCATGGCTTTCTTAATGGGAAGGTGATGCTCCATGATATTTTACCTTCATTATGGAAATATTATAATCTAGGAATGTCCTTTCTGCTTTCAAACATGAAGACCTTGTCTCTCCAAACTCATAGTCATGTCCAGTAGGAGTGAGTGGCTTCGGTCAGTTCTGCGTCATGAAAATCCTGATGAAAACTGTCTGGAATAAGAGTTCTCTTCTTGTGCCTCTCAAGTCTGAAGGTCGTCTTAAGGCAAACCTGCCGTTGCTTCAAATTAAATGTCCATGTGGTCGTCTTCATTCCTGTGGGGTGATTGCTGGTAGAGCGTTTCCCATAAATGCCCTTCCTAAGAGAAGCTTCTAATCCAGTGAGCAAAATATCAGAGAAGAGGGAGCTGTTGCCTGGATCCCAGATGGGAGAGCAGAGTGGACAGAGGGACCTCACAGTGGCCACAGTGAGATTTACTCCCTAGACGTGACCTCCTGGGCCCTTCATGATTTGCTGTAATTGTGTGGTCGCTGCTCTGGCCCCCATGACAGGGTGGTCATCGAGGATTCTCCCAGGGACAGACGGATTGATCCATCCAGTCATCGGAGATAGGGCTTGAGAGGGAAAGTGGACCCATGGCTTCACATTAACACCCTTTATTCAGGTCGTATATTTTACTTTGCCCCAGTTGCTCTTCTGATTTCAAAATATTTACTGACTCACTTTACAGATTTAACTTTTACTTGTTTCTACCTTTTGTTTAATCTTTTCTCTCATTTTCATGGGAGCAATTTATTAATAATTTTTCTCTATCCAGTTCTTAGATTCTCTTATTTTCCCAGAATCTCCAGATTATCATCAATTGGAGAGGAAATTCGGTAACTGTTTCAAGTTATAGTCTCTAGCTTCAGGCAGCCCGCCCAGTGGCTGAGCCACCCTCACGGAGTCTTGGTTTCCTCATCTGTAAAATGGAGGTAAAACCACACCAACCTCACAGGTTTTCCTGAAGATAAGACGACACTGAGTGTGGGTACTTACGTGGCTCATGGTCCACCAAGCCGGTCAGGAGGTGGCCAGTACCATTGCTCCCTAAGTCAATGTAGCTTCTGCATCCTGGGGGCTTAGGCTGGTCGTGTTTCCAGCAGCTGTTAACAGAGGTGGTTGCTGCATCTCCATTTTTTCCAGTCTATAAAATACTGCAATCTGTTCCACCCCTCCCTGTAAAGAAAGGCGCTTTGATGGTGAACATGTTAACAGTTTGTACGTGAGTGGAGCTGGCAACAACATCAGCCTTTTGTGGTCCAGCTGACCCCTTTTCCTTCTAGATGTCAGAATGACAAATAATCCTGCCTTGCGCCTGGGACCTTTACTTCACCAGGCTTTGAACCAGATGCCTGTGGTCCCCCGGAGATGCCCGCATCCTGTTAGTGGCATTCGTGATTGAGTGTTATAGGAATGGCAGTGTCTCCCTTGTACTGGGGGCTCTCTTCCCCGGGCCATTCATTTCCTTTTGTCATTTGCAGCTTCTGCAGAAGAGCACCGTTGCTAATCCTCATTCATAGAGCACCTTTGTGATTTGAACCAAGGCAGATGCTGAGGCTCCAGGAGAGAGGAGAGATCTCCTGTCTGCTTCTGGGAAAGCACTCTTGTGAAATAAACTTACTTGTCCTCCACAGAATGCCTTTTCATGGTATGCAAGCAGGAGAACCTTGCCCTGGGTTTCAAAACATAGTCAGGTCTCCATCTCTTGGTTTCCTGCACCCGCGATGAGTACAGTTGTGGACCTTGGTATTCCATTCATGCTTTGATAGATTCGGATTGGGGGTGGCCTTACATCTTATTACAGCAAATGAAGCGTCCACAATATCAGATCACTACGGCAAGAGGCTCCTCTGTAAGCTAAGTAGAAATCAGTTGAGATGCCTCGTTATTATAAAGCCATAGTATACATCTTATTCCATGTCCGATATGTAATACATTTATAGTTCCATTAACATGTCATAAATATAGGATTTTCTGTCTTGCTAATAAGTGCCCAGCACTGTGCTCAGCACCTCTAATGAGTTGTCCCGCAGTCTCCTCAGAACGCTGTGCAGGGGGATCAGTGTTCTTCCCACTTTACAGATTAGAAAACAAAAGCTTGGAGGGTTAAGAGAAGCACAGCGAGTAGGTGGTGGAGCCTGGATTCCAACCCAAGTCAGGCTGGTCCCTGAGCCCCTCTTGTAACCAGTGTGCTGTCGGGCCGGATACTGTCCAGGCACACCTGGTACTGGGCTGTCAGGGAGAATGGTGCTTCTCTTGCCTGTTGTGGGTTATTTTCACAGTGATAGAAAAAAAGTGTTTAGAATATGTAGTTGTCCATTGTTTTTCACTTCTCGGCCCACTTATTTTGAATTTCATGCCACAGGACCTTCTCATAACTCCCTCTCAGTCAGTCCTCTTGCAGAAATCTAAAGCTCTTTGCCAATCTGAGTGGCTGGTTCCCGCGGCCCAGCATTGGCACAGAGCTCCCAGGGTCGTGCCTTTTGTGCGACCTTAGACCAGGGCTCCCTCCTGTGAGCTGGGACTCTGCTAGAACACTCTTCCCCCAGAAACCACCTCATTTATGTCTCTTCTCAAATTTCAACTCAGAGAGGGTGTTCTTCCTCCCCTCCCCTAGAACAGCAGCATTCCATCCGCCGAGCTCTGCTCTTTATCCTGTTCAATGTTTTTTCTCTTTATTTTATTTTTTTACTCAGCTAACATTGGTTTATAACATTATATAAATTTCAGGTGTACCTCATTATATTTTGACATCTGTATACACTACATTGTATTCATCACCAAAAGTCTAGTCACCATCTATCACAAATGCACCCCTCTACCCATTTCACCCTCCCCCCACCGCCTTCCCCTCTGGTAAACACCAATCTATTCTCTGTATCTATGTGTTTGTTTTTGTTGTTGTTGTTGTTTTATCTTCCACATGTGAGTGAAATCATACAGTATTTGGCTTTCTCCATCTGACTTCTTTTGCTTAGCATAATTCCCTCAGGGTCTGTTCACGTTGTCACAGATGGCAAGATTTCATCTTTTTTTATGGCTCAGTAGTATTTCATTGTATATATATACCACATCTTTTTTATCCATTCATTCATTGATAGGCAGTTTAAAAAAAAGTTTCTGCATGGCAAAAGAAACTATCAATAAAATGAAAAGACAGCCTACCTATTGGGAGAAGATATTTGCAAATCATATATCTGATAAGGACTTAATATCCAAAATATATAAAGGACTCATACAACTTGCAACAAAAAATCAAACAACCCAATTAAAAAATGAGCAGAGGATCTGGGGCCAGCCCAGTGGTGCAGTGGTTAAGTTCACACATTCCACTTCGGTGACCCAGGGTTCACCAGTTCAGATCCTGGGTATAGACATAGCATCGCTTGGCAAGCCATGCTGTGGTAGGTGTCCCACATATAAAGTAGAGGAAGATGGGCAGGGATGTTAGCTCAGGGCCAGTCTTCCTCAGCAAAAGGAGGAGGATTGGCTGCATATGTTAGCTCAGGGCTAATCTTCCTCAAAAATAAAATTTTTTTTTAAATGGGCAGAGGATCTGAACAGACGTTTTCCCAAAGAAGATATACAGATGGCCAACAGGCACATGAAAAGATGTTCAACACCACTACTTATTAGTGAAATGAAAATCAATTTTTCTA